GCCCACGGGCAGCTCCAGGTGACGTGCCCGACGGGTATCTAGTTCATTACCAGTGGAGTGGTGCTTGTCTGAGGGAGGCCCAGTGGCGCAGTGGTTAAGTGCTTAGATATTAACTGAGAGGTCGGCAGTTTGAACCATGAGTCACTCTGCAGGAGAAAGATGCAGCCGTCTGCTCCGTAGGATGTTCACAGCCTTGGAAACCCCATGTTGGTGTTGGTAGGTGCCGTCGAGTCTGTTCTGACTCACCGCAACCCTGTGCACCACGGAACGAAACACCCCCCAGCCCTGTGCCATCCTGGCAATCATACAAAGTAGTGTATCAGGGGCCGAATAACACCCTCTCCATCCCCCCCAACCCCCAAAAAACTCGGGCCCTAATTCCCAGGACCTTTAAATGTTACCTTTATCTGGCAGAGTCTTTGCAGATATGATTAAGTTGAGGATCTTGCGATATAGGCAGAGGACCCTGGATTAGCCAGTGACTTTCCAATGGGATCTCGACACACAGATGGAGGAGACGGTGGTGGTGGCAGAGGCCGGCGGGATGAAACCACAGCCCAGGAAGGAGCTCCGAAGCTGGGCGAGGCCAGGAAGGGTCCTCCACTTGACGTGACTCTGCTGACACTCTGGCTCGAGTGCCGTGGAACTGCTGCCGAGCTTGCCGTCTCCAGGACTGTGAACGAATAACCGTATGTTGTTTCAGCATCACACGTCACCTGTGGGGGGCCATTTGTGGCAGCAGCTCCGGGAGATGAACGCACAAAGGGAGGGGTAATCCTGTCGGTCCCAGAGGGCCTCTCTGCAAGGAGCTATCTGGGCAGGGAGCTGAGAGAGGCGCGGAAGCCCCATGAGGGGAGCTTTCTTAGTAAATGCAGGTACGCACGCTCACACAGACACAAGCATACCTGCATGCATTCATGCACACACATATGCACTCTTGTGCGCACACCCACACACATACACATGTGCCCAACCACAAGCCGCAGTTCTAATTCTGACCTCTGCAGCACCTGGCGGTGTGGCCTGGCCTCGGTTCCCCCAGCTGGCATGGTAGAGCTAAAGAAGCTGATCTCTGAGCTCCAACCCCGTGGGAACTTCCTGCATGTGGCCCGCTGTGTGGAGAGGAGCCGGGGACGGAGGGGCCACCATCTTGGCAGGCCCAAGACCCTCTGAGTAAGAAAGTCAACATGTTCAGGCCACGAGGGGCCATGTAGAGTGCCCCGCCCCCCTGAGGCTTCTACCTGTGGTCTGGCTTCCATCCCAGCCACCACAGTCTCCTCCCTCCAGCCCTGTCACTCCCCGGCTCTAACGCCCTCCACGGCCCCTCATGCCCCCATGAGCTGACATGGCCATGCCACCCAGCCCTTGGGATGTACATTCTCCATCTACTCCTGAGACCCGCTTTGTGAATGTTGAAGTTCCTCGGAGCTGCGTCATCTCCTCTTCCCTTTCTTCACATACATCCTTCTGGGGACCCAACCTTCTCCTGTCCTGCAGAGACCCCAGTCTGACGTGCTGCCCATGTCTCAGGAGCCAGTGCCAGATACCCACCGGATGCCCCCTGGGTAAACCCCTACCAGCCCTCGGACTCTGTGTGTCTCAACAAAATTCAGCTTCTCCATCAAAGGTGCCCTTCCCTTCCCCTCCTTCCTCTCACTTTTTCCCACACATCCAACCTGTTGACAGGTATGTTAGTCTCTTATCTTAAACCCATCCTTTTCCAGCCCCATTGGCTCAGCCCCTGGTTCATCCTTGCCCCTCCCCCAGCACGGTCTACCCTCCACACAGCAGCCCAAGGGATCTGGCTAGACTCCAACTGGATCTGGCTATAGACATGTAAAAACAGATGCCAGGGAGATGTAGAGAAACCAAACCCCCTCATCCATTGCTGGAGGCAGCGCAAAATGGTACAGACCCTGTTGAAATCAGAGTGGGAGGTCCTCAGGTAACCCAGCATCCCCACTCCTGGTACTGATTCAGAAGAACGGAAAGCAGGAGGGCCAACAGAAACACAGACACCAATGTTCACTGCAGCACTCACTGCTTCTGAGGTAGAAGCAACCCAGTGTCCATCAGCAGAAGGATGACTCGGCAAAAATGTGATTCACCCTCGCAACTGAGGATTGATCAACTAGAACTAGAAATGAAGTTCTGATACGAGCCACGCCCTAGGTGAGTCCAGAAAACATAATGCTGAGTGAAATTCGGCACTCGCAAAGAGGCAAATATTGCGCGGTTCCATTTATATGAAATACTACCACTGAGTCAATTCCGACTCATCATGACCTTTCAGGTCAAGGTCAAACTGTCTCCTAAGGGTTTTCAAGACTGTAATTCTTTATGGGAGTAGAAAACCCTGTCTTTCTCCCGAGGAATGGCTGCTGGTTTCAAATTGCTGACTTTGAGATCTATGAAATAAGCAAACACAGAACTCAAAAACCAGACTCACTGCTATCAAGTCAATTCCGACTCACAGTGACTTAC